TACACACATACAGACAGACACACTAACTGCAAAGACTCCCTTTTTGTGCTTCGCACACGGGAGTCAACAAAATAGTATTAAAGATGGTCAGATATAAGCAGACACTGACAGAAACAATGGACAAGAAAAGATACACAAATTCTAAATAAAATAGTTTTAAATCAGATGCTTACAAGTTAAAAACAATAAAACTTAGGCAGTGTTTTGAACCCGCCTATTCATAGTTCATACCCAACATAGACTCCGGTCAGTCAAAATGACTATTTTAAACTGTAGGTGATTCAGCCAATGACGGAAGGAATCAAGGTAAGGCCCATGTCCTCACAGATTTTCTTTCACATAATGTAAAATGTGACCGAGGTCAAGAGGACAACGGCCATCTTGCCCTGGGTTCACTCCCTTGTTTTCCCTGTATACCAGGACTAAAGCCAATTGCCACGGAAAGTGGGGTGGTTGGAAGGACCTGGAGTCTATGGTGGGTATGAACTTAGTGAATAGGCGGGTTGAAAACACTCTCCCTAAATTTACTACGTTCAATTACCCATCATAGACTTCGGTCAGTCAAAATGACTATTTTGAACTGTAGGCAGAGTCAGACGCAGAGAGGTGGTGGGTTTCCGAGCAAAACAGAAAATAATTAAAGAAAGCTTAGAAAGAACTCCTGTGTGCTGAGAGTATTGAAGACACATTGAAAATTAATTCAAAATTACTTGTACTTGAGATATTGATGGAATAGCTGAAAACTAATTATGTAAATCAGGTAACTGATATGAACAGATTTGAGTGTCAAACTAATAAGGCCTGCGTAATGTAATATCTATGTACCAAGTTTCATTGAAATGTGATTAGAACAAACTTAGGCGAGGGTTCTCCAAACCCGCCTATTCACATAGTTCATACCCACCATAGACTCCGGTCAGTCAAAATGACTATTTTGAACTGTAGGCATTAATCAGCGATTCTGCCGGTGACGGAGAGATAGAATCCAGGTCAGGGGAAGCCCCATGACCTCAAGATTCTTTTATATACCCCATACGTCACGAACCCACGTGACCGAGGCCACCTGGC